ACATTTATAAACCTTATTATAGGTTTTAGCAAAGCCAAACAAAAGTGTTTGTGTGTTGATGCCACATTAAGCCTCACAACCTTAACCCCAAGGAAAGTTTCATAACCATTTTGTTTGTCTTCTAGTTATGCAAGTACATCATTGGACAACAAAACATAAAGAAGAGTAAGAGAATGTTGATTCACATTCTTTAATGTTTTTACTTTCTTTGCTGCCACATGAAATTCTTCCCCTCATTGCTCTGACATGCCCAGTCACCAAGTACTACAATTCTGCCATTAAATTTCAATTCCCTCTTGAGAAGCCATTACTGTATTTCTCATGGAAGCTATGTTAAATGTGCATCATCTGGAACAGTTTTCTGAGTGATGTCAAGTGATTTTACATTCAAGAATTAAGTTAAAATATATACTTCATGCAGAATCCCTCAATTGGTCAGCCATTTTTATGACTGTATTTGGAGTCTTAATGCCACACTAGTACTTCAATGATATTCTGGAAGGGAAGGGAATTATGTATGCTCAGTGCATCATCTTCACATAGACGTCTTCATTTTTAAGGTGACTCCCATGACAAGTACACACTTTCCTGCCTATATATTTTAGAAACCCTGAATGACCAACTCTCTTCCTAGGACCCACTCCCCCCCACCCCTCGCCGTTTTCCCCATCCATTCAAGGGATCTTGTCTCAATCCTCGTCTCTTGGGTACTATGCATATATGCATATCTTTTAGGCTCTTTCCTGTTTCCCAGACTCTCTATCAGTGGAAGTGCAGACTGGCACTATCCTGATCGGAAGTTGAGGGGGGTGGGGGTAGAATAGGGGGAAGAGGGAATCATAGGATCAAATTCAGATCGGGCACCAGAGCGACCTCGAGTGATCTAAAGGGATAACACCAATTGGCAAGCTAAGCAATAGTGGAGAGACCACCTCGAATGCCCATTCCTGATAATGAACTTGATGTCTATAACCATCCGGGGGCCTTCATCCTGTGACTGATGGAAGCAGAGGCAAACACACAATTAATCACTGAACTGAACCCAAGGAACCCAGTGACAGAGAGAGAGGAGTGATGAGCAAATTGGCAAAGAATGGGCTGGCAAAACCGGCAGAGACAGCTGATCTGAACAGGGGAGAGCTCTTGGACCCCAGACCGACAGTGGGGAGGCCAGCATGGGACTGATCTGGACCCCCCAAATGTGAGTGTCAGCGAGAAGGCCTGGGCAACCTATGGGGCCCTGAGCTGTGTATCAGTGTCTATCCCTGGTATACAAACAGTCTTCGTGTGCCTATAGCACAAAGAGGGATGCTCTCTCAGCCTGGACTCTTAGGGGAGTGCCTGGACCCTACCCAGAGTAAAATGATAGACTCTAGATATCCCCTATGTGGAAGGATTTGGCAGTAGGGTGGGGGGGGGGAAGGGGAGTGCTGGAGGAAGGGAGGGAGAGGGAACTGGGATTGACATGTAAAACAAGCTATTTAAAATTAAAATAAGCCGGGCAGTGGTGGCTCGAGCCTTTAATCCCAGCACTTGGGAGGCAGAGCTAGGCGGATCTCTGTGAGTTCGAGGCCAGGCTGGACCGATAGCCTCGAAAACAATACAGAGAAACCTTGTCTCGAAAAACCAAAAAAAATTAAATAAAAATAAAATTAAAATAAAAAATGATAAAAAAGAAACCCTGAATGACCTACATTATATTATTCTTTGAATTTATTTATTTACTTGATACCACAGTGTGATTTTTTCATACTGTTAGTGTATTTTTCTCACTTATTGGATTTAATTTTTTGTTTTTAAATCTAAATGGAAGTGCATAATATTTTCCTCCGTTTTTTCCCTCCAGGCTCTCTCATATATTTTCCCTCTAAACCATTTCATTACTAACCATTTTCTAGCTGATTGTGTCATTTTCCCTGAACATAATTGTCACAGAGACATAAAAACATGTGTGTATACACAAATCTATGAATAAAGTTGGCTGAGTCTGTTTTATTTGTTTGTATATGATTGATTGCAGGGCTGACTATTCTTCACTGCATGGCCGATCACAGCGCTCATCCTGGGGAAAGGCTAAACTTGTTATTTCGGCAGTCAGTAGTTGCCTCTATCCCTTTTCTAGGGCTGAGATCTCAGGAAAACTTTATTGTTTTTATTGTTTCCCCTTTATTATTGGCATGTCAAATAATGATGCTATTGTTACAGTCTTGTTCATGCAGCCACTTTAAGAGAATACAATTTCACAACAAACTGCCTGATGTTCGGGTAATTACAAACTTTTCACAATGATCCATAGATTGAGAAGTTGTAATAACAGGTACATACATGCATTGTGTCTGGGAACCTAACAATCCATGAATCTCTACATTGTGTCCAGTTGTGACTTTCTGTGATGGTCTCCATTTGATGTAAAGAGAGGTATGAAGGGTCATAGTTGCATGAATCTGTGGGCACCCGAATCAAATTTAGTATATAATATGGAATTGCAATCATCTAGCCAAGTTCCAATAATACATTCTTTTATAACGTTTATGACTTTACTAATCCCAAAGAGCCTGCTAGGTTTTCAGTACCTAGCACTGCATGCTGATTGAGGAAAGGACTCCCTCTTTAGGTTTCACAGGCAGAAGGGTCAGAGTAACTTCAATCTAAGGAGGAAGATGAATTCTGAATCATTTGGAAGGCTTCTTAACTAAAATAGTCCAGGCCATGATGTATGGGACTTGGTGAGGGCATCAAAGGTCAGCCAAAAGAAGAAGAAGAAGAAGAAGAAGAAGAAGAAGAAGAAGAAGAAGAAGAAGAAGAAGAAGAAGAAGAAGAAGAAGAAGAAAATGATGGTCCTAATTTCAGATCGATAAGCCAAGAAAAAAGAGCCTAGACCACCCAACATTAAACACTAGCCATTAAAATTTACAAAAGGTATGCTGGTTCCTTAGGAAGGCTCTCTCTTCCTAAGTATTGGCTGTTGAAAATCTTTGAAATGTCATAAAATAAGGTCTATGGGTATAGGAGTGGCTGAAGTAACTTGTTCCATAATCCCAAAGTATTTCATAAATAAAAGATAAACACAGATAAAGTAAAACCAAAAAGCAAAGGAGACAGACTGATGGGACTACACAGAACCAGAGCCAGCCATTCCCCAATGAAAACCAAAGAGCAGAATGAGTGTCTAAACATATCCTGTGATCCTTGGACCCTAGGCGTAATACTGCATTCAGTTTCTGCTTACTTGGGTAGCATACAAGGTGCCAACCAGAAAACAGCAGAGAGACTTAACTAGAGAGGTACACAGAGATTGAAAAACAATGCCAGGTGTCCCCAGGTAGGGTGTGGTGTCAAGTGAATGGAAGCTGTCAAATGTTGTAGGGTATAACTAAATTCAAAATAACCCAGCACACAAGTTCACTCTAAGCAAGACTGATTTGATTTGGCAGCACTGATGACCAGTCAGGTACAACTCTACTGACTCTGAAGCTGAGTGATCCTTGGATACTTAATGAAACAAGCAAATCACAAACATCTGTGCCAACTGAGGTAGGACATAAGTATACAGTGCAACCATCAAATGCATTTGCTCTTTGTGGTACAGAATTCAGGATGGAAAACGTTGGCTAACAGAAGCCCGCAAACAGGCCATCCTTGACATCCCTCCTCCCAAGACCCCCCGAAAACTGCGGGAATTCTTGGGAATGGCAGGTTTCTGTAGGCTATGGATCCCCGGGTTCGCGGAAATGGCAGCACCCCTGTACCCCCTCACCAAGACGGGGGCTGCCTTTGACTGGGGGGCGAGCCAGGAGAAAGCCTTCATGGACATCAAGAAGGCTCTGCTCAGCTCCCCAGCTCTGGGGTTACCTGATCTGACTAAACCCTTTGACCTATTCGTGGCTGAGCAAGAGGGTTATGCGAAAGGGGTCCTAACCCAGAAACTTGGACCCTGGAGACGACCGGTCGCCTACCTATCTAAGAAATTAGACCCCGTAGCGTCAGGATGGCCCCCATGTCTCCGCATGATCGCTGCCACCACAGTTCTCATAAAAGACTCTCACAAATTGACTCTGGGGCAGCCTTTGACTATCTATGCCCCCCATGCTATAGAGGCGGTCATCAGGCAGCCACCGGGCCACTGGCTCACCAATGCAAGGATGACCCATTACCAGACTCTGTTGCTGGACAAGGACCGAATTCACTTCGGGGCTCCGGTGACCCTAAACCCCGCCTCGCTACTTCCCCTTCCTAGGGAAGCAGAGACTCATGGCTGCTTGCAGGTCCTGGCCGAGGTCCATGGGACGAGAGCTGACCTCACGGATCAACCCCTTCCCAACCCCGACCACGTCTGGTTCACGGACGGAAGTAGCTTTGTACATCAAAGAGAGCGGATAGCCGGTGCTGCGGTGACAACTGTGTCAGAAATAATTTGGGCCTAGGCCCTGCCGCCGGGAACATCGGCCCAACGAGCAGAGCTGATCGCCTTAACACAGGCCCTGAGACTGGCAGAAGGTAAGAAACTCACTGTCTACACAGACAGCCGCTACGCCTTCGCCACAGCTCACATCCATGGTGAAATTTATAGGCGAAGGGGGCTATTGACCTCAGAGGGCAGAGACATCAAAAACAAAAAGGAAATCCTGGCCCTCTTGGGAGCTCTGCACCTGCCAGCCGCCCTCAGCATCATACATTGCCCAGGGCATCAGAAAGGCGACAACCCAGTCGCCTGGGGAAATCGGAGGGCAGACCTGGCCGCCCGGGAGGCTGCCCTGGCCATGGGAAACAGCAGTCACCTCCTTCAGGTAGCTGTAGTCCCTGTAACAAATGAGGCTTCCGAGGAGACCTCTCCGTCATGGGACTATGAGATAGAGGATATCAAGGCCATGAAAAGACTGGGGGCAACCCGAGTACATGATGGTCTCTGGACCTATCAAGGAAAAACTGTCCTTCCCCGCCTAATGACTAGATATCTGATTAGCAGCCTACACAAACTCACTCATTTGAGCTCCAGGAAAATGCGAGAACGATTAGCCCGGGAGGAAAATACCCGCCATCTGTTGGGAACAGAAGAAATACTGAAACAAGTGACCGAGCAATGTGATGCCTGTGCCCGCGTAAATACGACCAGACTGAAACTCCCCACCGGGACTCGAACTCGTGGGCACCGGCCTGGAGTACATTGGGAAATAGATTTCACAGAAATTAAACCAGGAAAATATGGGTACAAGTACCTCCTGGTTTTTGTTGACACCTTTTCGGGATGGACTGAGGCTTACCCTACCAAGCATGTGACGGCCAAGGTGGTCACCAAGGAACTTCTTGAAGAAATCTTCCCCCGTTACGGAATGCCACAGGTATTGGGGACAGACAACGGGCCTGCCTTTGTTTCTCAGGTAAGTCAGTCTGTGGCCACCTTATTGGGGATTGATTGGAAATTACATTGCGCTTACCGACCCCAAAGCTCAGGACAGGTAGAGCGAATGAATAGAACAATTAAGGAGACCTTAACTAAATTATCGCTTGCAACTGGCACTAAAGACTGGGTCCTCTTGCTCCCCCTTGCCCTCTATCGTGCCCGAAATACACCGGGCCCCCATGGCCTCACTCCTTTTGAAATTTTATATGGAACCACCATTCCCTTTGTTCAGCTCTTTGACCAAGATATTTCTGACCATGCCAATTCCCCCTCTCTTCAAGCTCACCTGCAGGCACTCCAGCTGGTCCAGCAGGAAGTCTGGAAGCCCCTGGCCCAAGCCTACCGAGACCAGAGGAGACGCCCTATCGTCCCCCACTCCTATCACGTGGGAGACAGCGTTTGGGTCCGACGTCACCAGGCTAAGAACCTTGAACCCCGCTGGAAGGGACCATACACTGTCCTGTTGACCACCCCTACTGCTCTCAAGGTGGACGGGATTGCTGCTTGGATACACGCCTCGCATGTGAAAGCTGCCTCCCCTGAGGATTCAGACCCAGGATGGAAGGCCCAACGCACTCAAAATCCTCTAAAGATAAGACTCTCCCGAGTTGCCTTCTTATGCTTCATGCTTATCTTTCCCCTTATTGAGGGAAGTCCTCACCGAGTATTCAATATTACTTGGGTGATAACCAATCTTGGGACGGGACATACTGCAAACCTGAGTTCCCAACTTGGGGCTCTGACAGACACCTTCCCCACCCTGTATTTTGATCTATGTGATCTGGTGGGGGAGGATTGGGACCCCTCTGACCAGGAACCCTTCCCTGGATACAGATGCCACCATCCGGGAGGAAGGATGGGAATCCGAGCTAAGGATTTTTACGTCTGCCCCGGCCATAAGCCCACCAAGTCATGCGGCGGTCCTAAGGATGGTTACTGCGCTGAATGGGGCTGTGAAACCACGGGGGATGCTTACTGGAAACCTTCCTCGACCTGGGATCTGATTACCCTCAAACGAGGGACGACCCCTGGATATACTGGATCCGGTCCCTGGACATGTGGAGGCCGGGATTGCGGCCCCTGTTATGACCAGTCGGTAAGAAACCTCCAGGGAGCAACCCCAGGAGGCAGATGTAATCCCTTACTGCTAACTTTTACGGACGCTGGACGAAAATCCGATAATTGGGAGAATCCCAAAATCTGGGGTCTTCGGCTGCATCGATCCGGGTGGGGCCCGGTCACCTTATTTTCAATCTTCCGCTGGGTAACTCCTATCGATTCGCAGGCCGTAGGCCCTAACCGGGTCCTCGCCGATCAAAAGCGGCCCAGCCTGCCCATAGCCGATCCCAAGCCCATGACCCTGCCTAGGACCACGGCCGCTCCCACATACAATACTTCTCTGAAAAGCCCTCCCCACCCCTCCTCAGTTCCCCCTACCGAGGCACCTCCTCCTCCCCTCGAAGGTACAGGGGACAGAATATTAGCCTTGATCCAAGGGACGTATGCCACTCTGAATTTAACTCGCCCAGATGCAACTAAGGTGTGTTGGCTTTGTTTGACTCCGCAACCTCCCTACTACGAAGGCCTAGCAGTTCTGGGCAACTATACAAATCAGAGTTCGGCTGAGGCTCTCTGTGGGGCAGCCATACAACATAAACTGACTATCTCGGAAGTATCCGGGAAGGGGCTGTGCGTAGGTAGGGTCCCTGCCACACATCAAGGACTTTGCAACGTTACCGAGCCTTTACCCCAGAGTAGCCGCTATCTGATAGCCCCCAATGGAACATATTGGGCATGCAGCACCGGATTAACCCCTTGTATCTCCACCGCGGTCCTAAATGCCACCATTGATTACTGTGTTCTGATAGAACTCTGGCCTAGGGTAATTTACCACCCATCTGATTATGACCTAATAGAAACAGGCCGCAGAAAAAGGGAACCTATCTCCATTACTACTGCCATTTTGCTAGGGGGATTAACCATGGGGGGGCCTAGCGGCAGGAATAGGAACCAGTACTGTCGCACTGCAGGAAACTAGACAGTTCCAACTCCTACAACAAGTAATGCGTGCAGACATTCGGTCTTTAGAAGAGTCAGTCGCTGCCCTGGAGAAGTCCCTGTCCTCCCTGGCAGAAGTAGCCCTCCAAAATAGAAGGGGACTAGACCTCTTATTTTTACAGCAGGAAGGAATTTGTGCTGCCCTTAAAGAAGAATGCTGTTTTTATGCTGACCATACCGGGGTGGTAAGAGACAATCTGGCCAAGATAAAAGAAAGACGCCAAAAGTACCAACAACTAATTGAGTCCCAACAGGGATGGTTTCAGAACTGGTATAACAGGTCCCCTTGGTATTCGACCCTCATATCCACCATTATGGGACCCCTGATCATTATACTTTTGATTCTGATGTTTGGGCCATGCATCTTAAACAGACTGACCCAATTCATAAAAGAAAGGTTGTCGGTTGTACAATCCCTGGTCTTAACCCAACAGTACCAGCAGCTAAAACAAAGGGATCTTGAGATGGCAGAAACTCCTGAATGAAAGATTCCATTCAGTTACAAGAGCAATGGGGGAATGAAAGACCCTGGCCCAGTCTAACAGGCAGCTGAGGCTTATGGAAAATTCCGCTCCTCCACAGCTGCATAATCATTGCCTTTCAGAAAGAAGCTCAGCCCATGGACACAGGCTGCCTGGTGCCAAACAAGATATCTGTGGGCGGCCAGATGGCCAGCTCAGCAAGGTTAAGCAAACACAGAGATATCTGCGGGCGGCCAGATGGCCAGCTCAGCAAGGTTGAGCAAACACAGAAACCGATTGTTCCTCAGACAGGGCCAAGACTTGAGTTCCAAGAAAAACCTCAATTGCCCGCGCTCTGAACCCTAGCCTCATTTGAATTGTCCAATCAGGGTCCTGATACTAAGCTTCTCGCTTCTGTCCCGTGCTTTTTGCTATAAAAGAACCCCTGAGTCCCCAGCTCGGCGTGCTCAGTTCCCCGAGACTGAGACGCCTGGGTACCCGCGTGTTACCAATAAAAGCCTCTTGCTGTTGCATCCAAGTTCGTGGTCTCGCTGTTCCTTGGGTACAGGTCTCCCTTCCGTGAAAGTATCCCTTTTGGGGTCTCTCATTACAAGTAATAATATTGAGTGAGGCAATCCACGCCCCAAAAAGAAATGTCAAACATTTTTCTCTTATTTGTGGTTCCTAGCTCAAAATCAAATGGATATGACTATAAAACCTGTAGTAACCACAGAACCACGAAAGTATGAAGGAACAGTAGGTGAAGATAGGGATGGTGTACTTGAGAGAGGAATCGAATGATACCGGTGATATGAATTTGAAAACAGAAAAAATTGTGTGTATGTGTGTGTGTGTGTGTGTGTGTGAGTGTGTATGTATGTGCGCGTGTGCGCTCGCACATGTGTGACACATAGATGTTCGACCACTTGGACTGACAATAATTCTCACAACAGTAATACACTAAGACAAATGTTGTATAAGGCGTAAGAAAACTTTCAAATCAAGATAGTCCAAGTGACTCACAGAATGGAATAAACTACAAATAAACCCTTTGGTTGCCTCTCAGGGGTTGTGGATGGGCCCGTATTATTGAAGACACCACATATTTAGGGCACAGGACTTGAATCATTGTAGTTATATCTGACCAGAAAGACACTTTCCTGTGGTATGTCCTCCAGAGTGTCTGAAATGAAATGCAAGCTGTCAAAGGACAGAAGAAATAAATAGTCCTTTCCAGCTGAAACACCTAATATGAAATTAAGTGTATTTAATTTTTATAGAAAAGTTTTAAATTTACAAAAACAAAATGAAACTCATAAAAATTATTCTTCTTTTCCTTGTACTCCTTACTGAATCTTCGATAGATACACACAAATATAATTTATCCATCCTTTGGTTGTATAAACCCTTAAAACCTCTAACTCCTCACTGTGGTGGTTTGAAATAAAAGGCCCCCAAAGCCAGTGTTGTAGGAGGGACCTGCTGCTGAAGTTTGAGTAAAAATTTCTGGACAGTTCTATGAGCTTGGGGCCAAATGGAGGACTCCCTTCTCCTAGTAAGACTTCTGTTCTCTGCCTGACCACATTTGGAAGCTGTCCCAAGTGATATGAATTTGGAAACAGAAAAAATTGTGTGTGTGTGTGTGTGTGTGTGTGTGTGTTTGGATGCCTGACTTATCTTAGGTGTGACCTTTGACACAGTTCACTGCAGCTGTTCCCCCCCAGGATGCCCATGAGATAATTAGGTTTTATGCTATTGCTGACTGGTAGAACCATGCTGCCAAATGAAAACTAGCTGATGCCCCAGCCTCTACTTCATCCTATAGATTTCTCTTCCTCTGGAATAAAGATCAGCTGTGCCACTAAAACGCATTCCTTGGAGGCTATTGGCATCATGCTTATAGTGTCTACAAATGGCTAAATGCCACTTCAGCTGCCTTTGTCCTCAGCATGGTGGCCACTGGACCATGGTGAAAAGTGAGACTGAACAGTGTGGCACTATACAGATATTTGGCCTTGTTGGAATATGTGTGGTCATGTTTGAGGCGGAGCATAACCGTGGAGGTGGACTTTGAGGTCTCTTATATGCTTAAGCCATGCTTACTGAGACAGAACACTTTCTGTTACCTACAAGTCAGAATGCAGGGCTCTAGCCTACTTCATGGTGTCTTCTCACAGTAATTAATACCGAACCTAAGACAGATTCCAAGTCTCCTCCTTCTCAACCTAAAAACAAGATATTTCTACATATATATATATATGTATATATATCAGACAAATATCACTTCAACAATAACTCAAGAATTTAAAATAAAGGAGAAACAACTGCAAGACTTGATTAAAAACCCCATATCACTCACGAAATTTAAACACTACAGTTGTCCTGTCCCTGGAGCAATTCTTACTCTAAGTTCTTTATCACTTGCCCATGGTACTCATTTTCAGTGTTCTGCTTTTTCCATTTAGTTTGTCATAGAGTTGTGGTTTCTTGCATCACATCTCTGTAGGACTCCTTTAAGAATAGGACAGCATATTCCACTACTCCAGGAGAATCTTACAGCCACCTCTTCAAAGGTCATTGACTCCATTTCCAGTATTCTGCTATCCTACTGAGTCCCTGCATTTAGGGAAAAAGAAATTGTTACAACTGGCGACAGACTTGCTGTATCTCTCTGCACAGATGATACCTGCACAAATTATGAGAGAGAAAATTGGACACTGTGCTATTTTTTATCATGTTCATGACATGTCAACATGGTGAAATTGGTAAAAATGAAAAATGAGTTATGGGACAATAATATTAGCCAAGGTCACTGATTCATCTAGACTCCTTACCTTGTAAATAAATTCCCTTTTCTTTTCTGTAATTCAGCACAGGATACCAAACTTCTTGCAGCTGAACAAACCTTATATAAATGTTGTAAAGTCCTTTTTTTCTGATGAATGGCATCATTTTAAAGGATCCTGGTCAGGTCATGTAAAGAATGCCTTGAAATGCTTATTTGTATTTATTTTTCTAATTGTTGTATTTAGATTATGAGTGAAAAGAAAAATTTCATCTTGTAAATGATAGCTATATCTCTTTTATTACAGTTCATACATTTCTTCTGTGATGATAATTACCAATATCAACAGAAAACTAAACAATAATATCTTGCTTTTCTTTTGTTTATCAATTCATTTTTCATCATTCATTTGTAGATTTAAAAATATCATCTCTAAATGAATAATGTTTCCACTTTGGCAACTGCATTAAGAAAAATTATTATTCCATTAAGATTTTAATTGAAACTCTGTAGTTATTGCAGTAGCTAAAGCCATAATTTTCCCACCTAGTTCACTTAAAAAAAGGCTACTTCAGGCAAAATTGGAGGTTATATTTTTTTTAAAGTTCACTGTATAACACAGGTCTCCTATGGGTGTGAATAGACCCTTGAAACAATTTAAGAAAGGGAGGTGTTCCTGTGGCTTACGGTTTGGGGGATTACAATGCTGCATGCTGACAGGTAAGACATGCTGTAGGGTAAGGAGGCATTGGGGGATGATCACATTGTATATTCAATGAGGATCCTAAGAGGTAAAAGCTGGCACTTCATTCACTTCCGTGTCTCTGTTCCAGGTCGCAGCTTCCAGACAGGTGCTATTACTTTCTGTCAGTCTTCTCACCCTAGTTAAACTCTCTAAAACACCCTTCCAAATATGTCCAGAAATATGTTTGACTCACACCTCTAAATCTAGGTTGACGATGAAGACTAACAGCCACGTTCCCTAGACTCACAGGTACTTCTTATGGGTTGTTCTGTACATCTGCTTTCAAACGTCTACATAAGATATTCCTCAAACTTTGAAACTGTTGTTACGACGAATTAAAATCTACCAAGATGATACATGTACATAAATCTTAAATGCATACATTTTTGTGTTCACAAAAATTCTCACTGAGCTTATAAGATTGTTCAGAGGTCAAGAGAAACTGCTGGTGTTTAAAAAGACCCAAGTGATAATTCAAAGCTTACATCACAACTGCCCCTAATTTCAGTTCCATGGGATCTGACACCCTCTTCTGGGTTCATCTGACAACAGGAGTAGCCCAAATACACAGAACACCCACATATCCAGAAAGTAAGATTACATAAATCATTAAATTGTTTTTACCATTGTTCTTGTGAAAACCATCCAGAAAATATAAAAATCTTCTAGAGAGTAATAAAAACTACTTTCACAACTATAAATACAAACCGAACACATATTTGAGAATTTATACTTATAAAATGCATAGACATGCTTTTGTGTATAAGTTCAAAAATATAAAACTATTGTGTTTTTGAAATAATTTTCTAATTTTTGATATTCTAAAATATCTAAACAGTTTTCTTTTCCTTTCTTCCTGAAAAACATCTCATACACCTCCTTAATTTCTATCAAATTCATGCCTGTTTTTTAATTTGTGCTACAAATACAAATATATATACATATATTTCATATACATATTCCTAAATATTTAAGTTAACAGTGCATATATATCTAGATATATACTTAAATATGCAATTATTACATTTGAACAGATATTTATATTTAAAATTATTAAAATTTTTATATAGCTGTGCATACATTTAACATATGAGATTATATGACATTTTATTCTACCACAATATATGATGTGGCTTAGCTTCCTTTTAGCAATATTTCTCAAAATCAAAATTTTTCATTAATTTTATAGTATATGATTAAAGGAATATACTAATTTGTACTATGTTTTTATGTTATCTACAGTAGGATGGTTAAAAATTATACTTAGTACTGTTTCATTATTTAAACTTTGGAGATCTGTTCCTAACTAGGAAACTTTTATTTTCATTTTTATTTTCAGGCTATCTATAATAAACATCTGACCTGAACAAGAGGTTGCTCATGGACCCCAGACTGACAGCTGAGAAACTAGTATAAGACTGTTCCAGACCCCCTGAACATGATATCAGTTTGGGGGTCTAGGCAATCTATGGGGCCCTGTAGTGCATCGGTATTTATCCCTAGTACATGAATGGACTCTGTAAGCTCATTTCACATAGAGGATACTCTCTCAGCCTAGACACACGGCAGATCATAACATTTTGATTTTGAAACTGTTC